AGTGCAATGTGTGTGAAACTAACCTCCAACACAAAAAAGATTCTGATTAGTTTAACTATCAATAAGCTCATCATGAAATCCTAAATGTATTATCTAAGTGAATACATGACTGGTTAGTGACTGTCCTAATATTTCTCTTTTTGACAACTCCCCCTCTCTTTTATAGTGAATTCTATACTTTAATGTATGCTTCTAAACATGACAAGCATGAGCTTTATGAGCTTTACAAATAAGAAATTAAAAATTAAGCATAATTACTCTCACAATTCAAGTGTAATTATTTTTAGTCATTTATTTTGCCTCACCTTTTTAGATTTGNGAGAAATTAACAATTAAGCATAATTACTCTCACAATTCAAGTGTAATTATTTTTAGCCATTTATTTTGCCTCACCTTTTTAGATTTGGCCACATTGGGCTCTTTTCTCACACTTNAAGAAATTAAAAATTAAGCATAATTACTCTCACAATTCAAGTGTAATTATTTTTAGTCATTTATTTTGCCTCACCTTTTTAGATTTGGCCACATTGGGCTCTTTTCTCACACTTGGCCTCTGGCATCTTTTAAGGGATTAGGGTGTAACTAACCTTTAATCAAACTCTTAAGTGTGAAGGTGAGTGGCATGCATGTATTTGGTTTTGAATCTTTCAAATGTAAANTTGGCCTCTGGCATCTTTTAAGGGATTAGGGTGTAACTAACCTTTAATCAAACTCTTAAGTGTGAAGGTGAGTGGCATGCATGTATTTGGTTTTGAATCTTTCAAATGTAAACACTATCCAAGCACGCTAGGATGAAAGAGATTTTGGCTAATGAATCATGCAATTGGGGCTATGCCACCAAGTTCTATATCTCCTGCTAAGACTCATAGCAATGCACATTTCAACTTTGACTTAAAGATGGAACAATTTCAAATGCAAATCAAAGTGTGAATTACCATGATCATGGAATAATGAAAAACTAACAAAAGAAAAATATTTTTGCCTTTTTCTTTTTCAATGTTTTTTTTTCNATTAATAATAGAATTCACAATGTCATGTTATGTTATGAGATAAGACTCACACATGTAATACAATCCAAGCCTTCACCAGCTCCCACAACACATACAATGCCATGTATGTAAATCTAGGCTTTTTAAGCCCTCACCATTGATGCTACGCACCCTATGACAATTTACCAAATAAACCATGTCTCTTCTTAGGTAGGTGACTTCCTGGGCTTGCACCAATGGTCCAACAAACCGACACAGATTTTGGTATCTCATCTTCGATTTTGCGTACACCGTTATACTTTTTTGGACTTTCACTGCCAGAAGTGTAGAAACCAGTAGTCGGGTCTTGCATCCGAGGGAGAATCTAGCCCTTCTTATTATACCCGACACAAGTTTTCCATGCGACTCAGTCAAACCTTGGTCCAACTCTCCTAAGCCCACTTATCATCCACCAAGAATGGTGTTTGATCANCAATACAATCCAAGCCTTCACCAGCTCCCACAACACATACAATGCCATGTATGTAAATCTAGGCTTTTTAAGCCCTCGCCATTGATGCTATGCACCCTATGACAATTTACCAAATAAACCATGTCTCTTCTTAGGTAGGTGACTTCCTGGACTTGCACCAATGGTCCAACAAACCGACACAGATTTTGGTATCTCATCTTCGATTTTGCGTACACCATTATACTTTTTTGGACTTTCACTGCCGGAAGTGTAGAAACCAGTAGTCGGGTCTTGCATCCGAGGGAGAATCTAGCCCTTCTTGCTATACCCGACACAAGTTTTCCATGCGTCAGACCTTGGTCCAACTCTCCTAAGCCCACTTATCATCCACCAAGAATGGTGTTTGATCAAAACGATGCACACACCCACACCCATGTCATATGCCCACGAATGTGATGCTTCTCATGCATATGCAATGTAATGAACTATTGCATTTCATATCACTATGCAACCAAGTTTTCGATTGCAATTACAACATCATGTTCAACATGTCATGATAACAACATGAACATTTTCAAATCTTCAATGTAACTTATATCATAAAGCATGTAATTACATTCTAACATCATCACAAAGCATGTTATATCAATTTCATTCAAATAACATACTTAATCAATCATAGGCATTTTATCAAACACCCAAGAGGCACAAAATCATGTAAACATATAATCATGCCCAATTTATCATATTCTCATGAAATCACCCAATGAGCAATTCTCAACNTTATGCAACCAAGTTTTCGATTGCAATTACAACATCATGTTCAACATATCATAATAACAACATGAACATTTTCAAATCTTCAATGTAACTTATATCATAAAGCATATAATTACATTCTAACATCATCACAAAGCATGTTATATCAATTTCATTCAAATAACATACTTAATCAATCATAGGCATTTTATCAAACACCCAAGAGGCACAAAATCATGTAAACATATAATCATGCCCAATTTATCATATTCTCATGAAATCACCCAATGAGCAATTCTCAACAAACCTAATTCATGCAAAATTGGTTTTATTCATTCTCATATCATTTCTCATACTCTAGTTACACTAGAAATATATTTAGACAAGATATTTCATTTCAAATCATGCCACCCATTTCCTACGAAACCCTAGCTTGAAAAAAAACCTAGTTAGGAGAAAAATCCTTTTTGGTTCAACTTATATATTCAGATGAGATTCCTAGTTGTCTTGTTTTTCATCGATTTATTTTTTGGTTCAACCTACATGTTCACATGGGTTGACACGTATTCTATTGAATTCGTAAAGAACTACAGTTGTTCATTTGAAATGAATGACCAATTTTTAATAGTTTTTTATTTTGATTTTTTTTAACCTATTTTTGAAGGAATTTGTTTTCTAATTTTTTAAAATTTATAGGGGTTAAATTTTTTTACACAACTTATAAAGGCAATCGCAANCCATTTCCTACGAAACCCTAGCTTGAAAAAAAACCTAGTTAGGAGAAAAATCTTTTTTGGTTCAACTTATATATTCAGATGAGATTCCTAGTTGTCTTGTTTTTCATCGATTTATTTTTTGGTTCAACCTACATGTTCACATGGGTTGACACGTATTCTATTGAATTCGTAAAGAACTACAGTTGTTCATTTGAAATGAATGACCAATTTTTAATAGTTTTTTATTTTGATTTTTTTTAACCTATTTTTGAAGGAATTTGTTTTCTAATTTTTTAAAATTTATAGGGGTTAAATTTTTTTACACAACTTATAAAGGCAATCGCAATCATAAAAAAAAATTATTGTTAATTATTTTTAGTCATTTTGAATATTTTGGTTAAAATTGATTCTATTCCAATGAAAAAATTATTTTATCCAAACATAAAAATGGAATGAACATTCCATTCCAGCATTTAATCCTAAACAGTTGTCAAATATTGAAATGGTAATGCGCATTCCATTCCATTCCTAAGTTCATTTCATTCCTACTGAAAAGCATTACCGCGTACCAAACGCAGTGTCATNTTAAAGGCAATCGCAATCATAAAAAAAATTATTATTAATTATTTTTAGTCATTTTGAATATTTTGGTTAAAATTGATTCTATTCCAATGAAAAAATTATTTTATCCAAACATAAAAATGGAATGAACATTCCATTCCAGCATTTAATCCTAAACAGTTGTCAAATATTGAAATGGTAATGCGCATTCCATTCCATTCCATTCCTAAGTTCATTTCATTCCTACTGAAAAGCATTACCGCGTACCAAACGCAGTGTCATGGGAATCCTTTTTACATAACCCGACATAAGGGAAATGTAAAATTTTTCATCTAATAAAAAATTATGAAAATTATACATTATTCATGTAGTATAATTATGAAAATTATGAAAACTATAAACGATCCATCAACATCCATAGAAAATATGAAAATTATATCATGAATTTTTTTATTTTTTTATTACCGTATCTACCTTGTTAAAATTTTCATATTCATACAGCATAATAATGATGATATGAATAAAAATTTAGTNAACATCCATAAAAAATATGAAAATTATATCATGAATTTTTTTATTTTTTTATTACCGTATCTACCTTGTTAAAATTTTCATATTCATACAGCATAATAATGATNTACATCCATAGAAAATATGAAAATTATATCATGAATTTTTTTATTGTTTTATTACCGTATCTACCTTGTTAAAATTTTCATATTCATACAGCATAATAATGATGATATGAATAAAAATTTAGTAAATTTGAGATAACATTTAAATTAATTACATATAACACAAAAAAAAAAAAAATTGTCTTCTATAATTCTCTCACGTGCAACGTATAATACACTCTTAATGTATGAAATGTTATATTTGTGAATTAACGAGGAATGATATCCTAATTAACGGAAAGTAAAGAAAACCATTGTGAGAATAAGTAAAAGTTTCAGTTGAGCTGCTCTGACAATGGCGAGAGAAANATGATATGAATAAAAATTTAGTAAATTTGAGATAACATTTAAATTAATTACATATAACACAAAAAAAAAAAAAATTGTCTTCTATAATTCTCTCACGTGCAACGTATAATACACTCTTAATGTATGAAATGTTATATTTGTGAATTAACGAGGAATGATATCCTAATTAACGGAAAGTAAAGAAAACCATTGTGAGAATAAGTAAAAGTTTCAGTTGAGCTGCTCTGANTTGTTTTCTATAATTCTCTCACGTGCAACGTATAATACACTCTTAATGTGTGAAATGTTATATTTGTGAATTAACGAGGAATGATATCCTAATTAACGGAAAGTAAAGAAAACCATTGTGAGAATAAGTAAAAGTTTCAGTTGAGCTGCTCTGACAATGGCGAGAGAAAGGGCATTTCCGGAACTTCACCCAAGGCCTCAATTACGAAGCGTAGTTGCGTCTACTGTAGGTACCAACAATCCACAGATTGCTTCTAATAACTGTATGCATTTATCTACAAATACAAACCGAATCGAGAGCATTTCAACAGATATATCGTAGCTGTAAATTGTTCCCCTTTTTTGGTCTTCTGCCTCGCGGGTACTGACTACTCTCTCTCCCTCCCTCCCTTCTCTCTCTAAAAGTCAAATCCAATCCAAACTCAACTTTTTAGCTCTTTCTGTCATTTGGTGTTGTTTCTTACATCTTCAGACGAATATTTCTCTATGTTTCGTTAATTTTCTGTTGGACGGTGAATTTTCTCTCTCTAGATTCGTTTTTTGTGTATCTCTCTGAAATGAAATTGAATGATTATAGCCTGGTAAGTTATCTACGCTGCGGTTGTTGTTTTGCTTGTAATTCTTGTTGTTTGATAGGTTTTTAGTGAATCTGTAATCATGACATTGAAATCCAGGTGAATTGGTGAAGGAGAGCACTGTAACGTACTGAATCTTATATCTAGGGTTTTTGTTCTGGTCTGTTATTTATAATAGTAGTTGGGTCAAAGCAGATCATACTGAATTAAAAATCGTTTTAATTCCTGCTTTATTTGTTGTTTTCCTTCCAATTCTTATTCGTTACACGGACTTTTGTTGATCATTTATTCATTTAAATACCGAGTAAGTATCGACAAATCTCATGGTCTAGGGTTTCTGTTCTTTTTTATCTTATGGCCATACCCAGATTGATATTTAGAACCATTTGGTAATTTTTATTTGAAATTCTTGGACTTATCGTAATTATTAAGTTACCTTAAATGCGCAGAGCAAAAACTAGAAATAGACAAATTCTAGACTGTTGTTATTTATTTCCTTTGAATATTATTGATGTTTGATCAATTGCAGTATATGGATTCTTACATGACTCAATTTTATTAAATGTTGGTTCTGGGATTTTTTGGGTGTAATGAACAGATGGCGAGTGGAGGCAAGGTTGGGTACAAGCAGAATACGGGGAGAAAGGTTAGATCAAAACTCAAGGGTTCAGATGAATCAGACGAGGACTATAAGGTGGATGAAGATGAAGACTTTGAAGAGTCAGATGAATACTGTTCTTCCTTTGATGGAGGTGAATCGGAAGAGGAATTTGAGGCCAAGGAGATGGAGGAGGAGCAAGAGGATGAAAAGAAAGTGAAGAAGTTAGGACAACCAGAAGGTCAAAAGGGTGCTTCGGGTAGGAAGATAAAAGAGATGAAGAAGCCACTGAAGGAAAGGAAGGTTTCATACAAGGAAGAAGATTATGAGGATGATTGTGATGATGATGATGATGACAATGATGAAGAATTTACACTGGATGAGATTGATCGAGAAGATGAAGATGAAGTGCCTGCAACAAAGATGAATAAGAAGGTGGGCAGGCCTCGATTGGGGGAAAAGGGTTTTGTTAAAATGAGGAATCGGAAGAGGAATTTTAAGGTTCTGAAGAAAGATATGAAAAAGAAACCAAGACTGAATCTTAGGTTGAGGGGGAAAGGGAGTTCTACTGATGAGGAATTTATAGACAATAACCCGGTTGTGGAAGAGAAGTGTGAGGAGATTTCTGGTCATCGGAGAAGGGTATTGGTGGCTAATTCTGATTCAGATTTGGTGAGTTCTGAATCATCGGATTCTGATTACACTATCTCTGAGGAAGAGAGAGAACATATAAGAGAGGCCAGTAAATTCTCCAGCAGTTTGGCAACTAATTTAAGGGGTTCGACTTTTTCGAAGAGATCAGAAGAAGAATCTTTTTGTCAGCAAAAAAAACGAATAGGGAGAAAGGGTAAGGAGAAAGTAGATGATGATAGTGACGATGATGAAGAATTTACGCTGGATGAGAATGAGATTGATTGTGATGATGAAGATGAAGATGAAGTCCCTGTGACAAAGAAGAATAAGTTGGGCAGGTCTCGTTTGGGGGGAAAGGGTTTTGTTAAAGGGAGGAAGCGGAAGAGGAATTTTAATGTTCTGAAGAAGGCTGTGAAAAAGAAACCAAGAAATAATCTTCGGTTGAGGAGGAAAGCATGTTCTAATGAAGAGGAGTTTATAGACCACAACCCGGTTGTGGAAGACAAGCCTGAGAAGATTTCTGGTCGTCGGAGAAGGGGAGTGGTGGCTGATTCTGATTCAGATTTTGTGTGCTCTGAATCTTTTGATTATGATTACACTATCTCTGAGGAAGAGAGAGAACAGATAAGAGAGGCCAGTGAATTTTGCAGCAGTTTGACCACCAGTTTGAGGAATTCAACTTTGTCAAAGAAACTGGAAGAAGAAGAATCTTCTTTTCAGTTAATAAAATGTCCTGGGAGAAAGGGTAAGGAGAAAGTAGATGATTCAAAGAATGAAGTAGGAAAACAAGTTTGTGGAATCTGTTTGTCGGACGAGGGAAAGAAAATAGTGCGAGGAGTATTGAATTGTTGCGGTCATTATTTCTGTTTTGCTTGCATCATGGAATGGTCGAAGGTGGAATCTCGTTGCCCTCTGTGCAAGCAGAGGTTCGTGACAATTAGTAAGCCTGCAAAATCAAACACAGGGCTTGATATGAGGACAGTGGTGATACAGGTCCCTGAGCGTGATCAGGTATATTGCAATCGTTTTTTAAAATTTTTTGGGTGCAGATGGACCCATTGTGTTTTTTATTTAATTGGATTCTTTTTGTTGAATTTTTTTTCCATTTTTCTATTTGTTCTTGATTGGAAATGTTTTGTGCCATGTACAGATTTATCAACCATCTCAAGAAGAGCTTAGGGGCTATCTTGATCCATATGAAAATGTTATCTGTACTGAATGCCAGCAAGGTGGGAATGATGCTCTCATGTTACTTTGTGATCTCTGCGATTCACCTGCACATACCTATTGTGTTGGTCTTGGACGTGAAGTACCGGAAGGTAATTGGTATTGTGATGCCTGTAGACCGACTGCTCTTGGTTCCACCTCAAATCCACTAGGTCTATATCCTATGCCAGATCAAAAAACAAGTACCAACTATTCTGGTAGATCATCTCCTGCGGACAATGTTAGGGTAGCGTTAGATCTCAATGAGATGTATGTGCCTGATATACCATTGACTCAAGAAACTGGGTCTTCTCCATCTCCTAGACTTTCTGTTGGAGATTTTCAAGCTGCTTCTTCAGCATCTGGATCAGGGGCATTTACTGTGTCAGAAAGGCGCAGGATACAGCGCCTTATACAGAATCTTCTTCACAACAGAATGAGGCAACTTGATGGCCAAAGCAATGGGATATCAGCCACAAATTTGGGAAGTAGTCTTTTTGGCACTCAAATTGGTCAGGTTAGGGAATTTGTTCCTCAACAAACAGTAACACCGGAAAGGCTAGCATCGCGTTATAACTTTTCTGAGGAAAGTTTTCAGGATAATTCCACATCTTTAGTGCACAATAGGGAAGCTTTTCCTGCAAGATCAATCCATTCAAGGGAGCAAGCAATTCAGAATTCAGCTTATACATCTGTTGCTGGAGTTTTACCTGCTGAACTTGCTGGCATCCATGCCAGTGTCAATTCAAGATTGGGTTATCAGCAATCCCATCCATGCAGCAGTAGATCAACCATTGGGACTGATGCTACCATGTCTCCTTGTGCATTCAGAGAGGTGAGCCACTTTAAGCTAGAAAAGGAACAAGTGCAATCAATGGTTAGAAGGCATTTAAAAAGCTTCTTCAGAGATTTGGAGTTAGGTATGTCTAAGTGTGCAGTTTTTACTCTTCAACTGCATGTAGCAGTATGACTATAAGACAGAGTTGTAGGATGAAATGATTATGACTTTAGTCATAGGCAATAGGTTGGTCTTTATTCTGGAAGATCAAATCATAGTGTTCAATTAGTTAATCAACTCACTGACCTGTCTAGGACACTCCAAACACTACTATAATTATTAGACAGTATTCTGTTGCTTTTTAGAAGGGAGAATGTTCCTGTATGCCTTCGCTTGCTTATTTTGTCTGTCTTTTTTTTTTCTATTTTTCAATTTTTATTTTTTTTTTTGGTTTGGCTTTGAAGTGCCTTCTTTGCTTTGCGAAGAGTGAAGGATTATGAGTTCTCATGCACAAGGCAGCGATGAAGTGCGCCTACGATTTTCATTTGTGTGCTGAAATTACCTGTTATCAAGAATGATGAAATTAGTCGATTTCTATTGATGCAGACTACAAAGTCTTTAAGGACATCGCAAGGAGCTCCACACACACCATTTTAGCTGCATGTGGGATTGAGCATCGGACGAGCGAGGTCTGCCCTGTGCAGTCACCATCAACTTGTAACCACATTGAAATAATGGGAGGTGTGCAGATGGGTCTGATGAAAGGATACTGCTCATCTTGTTTCGATCAATTTGTGAGGAACGTAGTGAAAGCGATCACGAGCATTAAGAACCCGTCAACAAATAGAGGTTAGGGATTGATGCGTCGGAATGATTGATCATTTTTTCAGTTTAGTAACACTATGTCGCATACTTGATTTTTGATAGGAATTGAGACAGAATATTTGGTCAAATTGTTTACATGGACAAGCCATTTCTCAGCATTGATCTATTTCTAACTCGTTTATATTTATGTCGCTGAGATTGAATACTGGTGGCTGTTTGGCACCTCTTTAGAAACACACAAGGATGAGAAACATAGCCTATCTTGCACAAGCATATCTGGATAGGCTCTTATGAGCTCGCAATAGCAATTATCATGTTGTGAGCTCTACCCATCGCGTGATCACATTACGTTTGTCTTGGTGGGATGAAAATATGCAATGATTAGTGTGATGGAAGATTGGCTTATACCCTGAAAACGGCATAGTGCCGAGCTTTACTTTTCTGCGTGTTCTGATTTGTGAAGTTGGACCCAATGTTTAGGTGATCTTCACAGATTACGGAGCCCATTTTCTGTTTGTAGTGTCGCACCATCTTTTTTTGGATGCTGACTGGAGTAGAATTAAGAAACCGTAATAATTTTATTTTGGGCAAACCGTACTTACCGATTTGTTATTGGACTTTTTGCATATCACCCTTTTGCCTTAAAAGATTATCACAAGGCTCTCATACACTACACTCCATTTTGTTTTTTTGTTTTTTTTTTTTGAAGACACTACACTTATCATTCAATTTAAGAGATTTTGTAGCCTCGTGCCTGAAGTGGGTTGAGAAGTTTATTTCAAAAGATGAAAACGCCCTCGCTCTAATTTTCTGTTTCTCTCCCTTCGTTTTCTCTACCTGTCATCAACCAACATCGTCAGCAACGTCCATAGTCAGTAGCCGGTTCATCCGCAGCGTATTGGTGAGGAACATAGACTATAATGTTTTTAGAGAGAGTGTGTTGGTCGTCGAGTTGCTTCAGTTCGTCAATGGTTGATCTCACTCTGCAACAATATGGTTCTTCCAAAGCAATTAGTTATTCCACTTTTCATCTGCTTCTTTCCTTGATGTCCAATAAACAACTCACTCAATACATTGTTTTGATTTCGATATTTTCTAATTGTACAACTAGGTGGTTTCGGACTCAAAGCCCAGATTTTGATAATGATCTCTGCTAACTTGTATTCCTGATTTGTGCGAATAAATGAAGACGTTTTGCAAATAGAGCTCCATCTGAAAATAAGGGTTTACACCCACCAATGTTTAATGATTCTGAGAATTAACCTTTACATTTGCTGTTTGGAGTCTTAGAGCTCCTCTATTTATATTATTTAAAATAACATTTTATTTGACTCTCTACTTTTAAAAAGTCCAACTCAAACACTCTTCTATTTTTAATGAATGAAATAAATGACGCACATTCGTTCTTCATTAAATATCATTTATTAAAGGGCCATTTATCTACTAAAATAAAGAATCCGTTAGAATTGCCTAAAATATTTCTCTTTACTATAAAACTATGATTTTAATTTAAGAGATATATGTCCACCACACAATACACCAAATGCATTTTTTCTATTTAGTCTATCCTGCATTAATCAGTTGTCATTCAGCTCAGATTCCAAATATGATGGGTCTGTTCCTAGGCCACCCGGTGGGCATTCTCACCGCTACATAAACTGAAGAAACGTCAAATATAGGCCACCTTGCCCTTCACTAGGAACGACTGACTAGAAAAGTGAACATTATTATATCCCACATAAATATTTGAATGTCATCATAAACTTGGTAGCATGCATAAAGCGTAGTGTTCAATGCAGGAATGAGAGACAGAAAGAGGCACAGGTAAATTTATTATCTTCTTTNACTGTTTCGCAATCCTCCGGTCTTGACTAGAAAAGTGAACATTATTATATCCCACATAAATATTTGAATGTCATCATAAANAACTAGGTGGTTTCGGACTCAAAGCCCAGATTTTGATAATGATCTCTGCTAACTTGTATTCCGGATTTGTGCGAATAAATGAAGACGTTTTGCAAATAGAGCTCCATCTGAAAATAAGGGTTTACACCCACCAATGTTTAATGATTCTGAGAATTAACCTTTACATTTGCTGTTTGGAGTCTTAGAGCTCCTCTATTTATATTATTTAAAATAACATTTTATTTGACTCTCTACTTTTAAAAAGTCCAACTCAAACACTCTTCTATTTTTAATGAATGAAATAAATGACGCACATTCGTTCTTCATTAAATATCATTTATTAAAGGGCCATTTATCTACTAAAATAAAGAATCCGTTAGAATTGCCTAAAATATTTCTCTTTACTATAAAACTATGATTTTAATTTAAGAGATATATGTCCACCACACAATACACCAAATGCATTTTTTCTATTTAGTCTATCCTGCATTAATCAGTTGTCATTCAGCTCAGATTCCAAATATGATGGGTCTGTTCCTAGGCCACCCGGTGGGCATTCTCACCGCTACATAAACTGAAGAAACGTCAAATATAGGCCACCTTGCCCTTCACTAGGAACGACACTGTTTCGCAATCCTCCGGTCTTGACTAGAAAAGTGAACATTATTATATCCCACATAAATATTTGAATGTCATCATAAACTTGGTAGCATGCATAAAGCGTAGTGTTCAATGCAGGAATGAGAGACAGAAAGTGGCACAGGTAAATTTATTATCTTCTTTCCCCCAAACATGAAGTAAAGTGAAAAAGGGATACACCAGTCTCATTCTGCCTAAATACTACATTCTACATCCAACATACATCAAATTTATTACTACATCTTATTTCACTCTGGTTTAATTCATTGCCATACTCGCTACAGAAAAGCCACTGATGACCATTTTTTGCTGGAAATTTGAAGTCACATTGCCACAGCAACCTTCATAAGTTATCATCAAGAATGGTGGACAACAACATCCCCTGAACAAACTCACTTCTCCTTGCCTTCTCCTCTTGATCCTCGATCGATAAGGGAGGTTGCACTTTTCTGTCACTGGAAAACATAATAGATTGAGGAAAGCTAAAACAAAATCAATGATGATTCAGTACACGATCCAGATAAAATTTCCAAAAACAACAATCATTGGCCCATACCTACATATGTGCAGACATTGTATTAATATTTGTGTGTGTGTGATAGCATTGAGGGCTGAACTACACTTTTATCCTTTTCGACTAGACAAAAGAAAAAAATAGCACAGAAATTAGGGGTCAAAAAACAGTATTATCTGTTGGGCATTGTTTGCATGAGCAGATATGTAAATCAACACCAGGTGAAATTTTGAATAACAAAAATCCTTTACACAATTCTTTTAACTAAAAATAGACCTTATATATTGTCTTCGCAACAAACACACCTTGGGAGTTTAAACAGAACTTGGCAGGCAAGAGTGACAGAGTAATTTAGATGTATTCTGATCATAAACCAATGTGCATTCTTATTTCATGCAAATCCAATAAATTTAAACTGCCGTCAGCCAGTCAATTAAATCTGGCGCATAGACCTTTGACTAGAGAGAAACAGCAAAATTAAGTTAAAGGATGAAAATGCGAATTAAGGACACACAAAAATGGAAAGGGATAAGAAATTTTTCAATGGAGCCAAAACAAACGAAGAACATGCGAAAACAATTCTCCATGGGACCATATAAACACAAATGAAATCCTTCTCAAAGGATATAAAAGTGCCCTTAGAATGGTTCTTGTCCTACCACAATCCAATCCTCATGATCTAATTGAAAGACATCTTTTAGATTTTTCAATAGTCCAACAGCATTGACCAGTTCTTAATTTTTGCCACATGTGCCAGCACCTATTTTCCTCTGCAACAATATAATTAGTGTCATTGCATCCAATAGCTTCTCCCTACATCTTTAAACTATGTACCTTCAGATTCATCTACCAACTCTAGCAACATATTCGTTTCCAACAGAAGAAGAGTGCAGTTACCCCGCCAGATGCTTATGTAAAATAAAATGTGAAGGAAGGAAAAGTAATGGAAATCTTAGTCAAGGCTAGAGAAGACGTCCAATAGTGGGCCTAGCCCTATACTAGAATATACAGCCAAGTTTTACAAATCAGGATCTAGTGAAAGAAACAAACTCGCCTGTGCTTCTTACCAGCTCATGTGTGGGCACAGTAATGCTGCAAACAAACGCCATCCAGAAACTGAGACTAATAAGTTAGAAATTGAAGCCATATTAGACATCCTCTATTAGAAAGTCGATATGTCAGAGTAGAACTACCATATCCCAGTAAGTAACTGTCTGTTCTATTGTTGTATCAAGAGATTAAAGACCTACAAAATTAATTTGTTGTTGCTTTCAAACTTTGGCCCCCTCTGCCACCCAAATAAGAAGAAAAAAAACCAACTTGAATTGTGAATATTAAAGTCAGTCAACAATAGATCATGAATTATTAGTTTTTCTCTTTGAATTCTCAGGTCCTCCGAGTGCACCATAATCCCCCAAATTGTCTTCCAACGGTAGATATCAAGTTCAAGCAAATAGCAGTAGACGACAACATTTTGTTCAAAAATTATATGATTGAATAATTTAATCAAGGTTCAACTTTTCATGTCAGCATCTAAAGGTCAACCAAAAGCTTTTATTCACCAATAAATTTTATGAGCAATATCTTCTGCCAAACCATGACCCCAATCAGATAACTGTCTCCCATGTTAATTGTGCTCTCTTCAACTAGGGGTATAAAACCAACCACATTGTTCACATGCAGCTGTAGTTCAGCTGTTCTTCTCCTTTATTTTTCCCACACCCATTTTGTGATCCAGGAGCTCAGCATGTTCAAGCTCGTGTATGATATACAAGTCAAGTTTGAGTTTGGCCTCAAACCATTGCTTTAGGCAAGATTGTCAAAACATGTATCAAAAGACACCTCATTTTTCAAAAATAAAGTATTGCATACAGTAGTGTACCGTATATTGTAAGATACACTCGATTGAAATTCATATATATACACACATATACCTAAGAAAACATAAATATGTAATGTCCAAAGTAATATAAATATCATTTCAACTCACTTAAATTGTTGTGCGATGCGTGATTCTGAAAAGTATTGAAGGACAATGGTTCGTCCTTACGGCAATCAAAATATAGCTAGGGTTTTGTCTGTTTGAAAGAGAAGAAGAAGACTAATAGGCAGGAGAAACAAAAGAGGATCATAA